ACAAGCATGGCGAAGACGGTAATAAAATGATCGATCTACACCATCATATGTTTGTGCCAAAGCTGAGCATCCACTGACATCCACTGTTGGACAGTCTCATTAAATTCATTACATAATCTATATTTCATATCTACATTTTGATGCAAAATCACACATTGACGGTTTCGAGTGGGAAGTGACTGGTCCTGAGCAGCAAACAGAAAGCCTTCTGTGTCACTTTTCAGGCCAGCCAACCTCATCCAAGGTAAGGACTCTGCAGGGTTGCTGACCTTCTCAACACACTGCACGTACACTCGTTGCAGTGGTCTTTCAGATCTCAGGCCTCTCCTGGAAACACTGAGTCTGGGCCGATTTGATATGGCACTTCCCTTGGTTGACACTCATTTATTATTATTATTATTATTGTGAAGGAGGACCAAGGTGTTTTAAACACATATCTACTTTTCAAAGAACAAACAGCATACGTGTTTGAGTTGTGAATGACACTCATCAATAAACAAAAACTCTTAAAATTCCATTTATTCTTGAAAGCATCACATTACACCACTTCTGGTCAAGGGATACGAGCAATAACATAGTTAAACAAACCACTTTGAAATATTAATCCATTGCCTACAGATTCTGTTCACAAATTTGAAATGTAATTTACTATTGTTAGCCAAAAGAAAATTTTAAGATTCCATTAATTGTCGATTTCAAAGGCGTTATCTGACTTCTGGTTTAAGTGACATGAGGAAAAATATAATTCAAAACGTTCAATATAGACCCCTTTGAAACAAAATCAAATTAAATACTGTGCTATAAGATGTTTTAAAATATATAATTGAAGAAATCCAACAGAAACATTTCATCATTACTTTAAACGAAAAATATTATTTTCATATTTTTGGCAGAACATTTGAAAGAAACAAAGTCTATACAAGTCAATGTTACCTGTGCATGTAGTAAAAGTTCCAAATACAAGTAGTACTCAATTCATTCAACTTCATTGGAATCGACCATAGCAAGAAATATACTTGAAAATTAATTGTCAGTTTACAGATTTTCAAAACAGTGATGACATCTAATTAAACAAACAGTGTCTTCCGAATACACTAAGATATATACTAAAAGCAAACAACGTAAAGAAAACAAAAGGGTAATATACAAGTATATGAACTAGAAAGTTGTAAACTGACTAATGTATGTACTCAGTACTGTAAAATAAATGGGACATTAGAACTGTAAAATGAAGAAATAAAAAACTATGAAATATCCATGCTATGGGCACATTTTCTGATTTTCATGGTGTTAAAAGACGTAGCTTTGCTCTTTGTCAGCAAGCAGATGCAGTCAATGCTGAGTGTACCTGAGAACCAAGACCTTTTCTCGTCAAAGTAAATGTAATATATTTAACACCTTAACATTTCTTTAAGTGAGTGAGCTGGGTGTTATTCAACTTTGAACAATACTTCAGTCATATCACAGGGTGTCAGATTCAAACCCTTGACAACCGGATCCTGTCATGGTTAAGTGACACAACTCTGCACAGCGCCCAGTGAACAACTACACATGTAGAGCAGCATATTTATATAAATATAAATTTCACCACAATCAGATCACTTACTTCAATATAATTCCCCCAAACAAGGTTTCGTCAAGTGAACAATGAGCAAACTTTTACCACCCAAAATTGAATGAAGAATATGTGGGTTCTAGAATATGTACTCTTTCCAAAACAATTCCGTTTCAATATTTTCCGCCTCGTTTCGGAAATTTCGATCTTAACAAGGTGAGTGAGTGAGTGAGTGAGTGAGTGAGTATGGTTTTACGCCGCTTTTAGCAATATTCCAGCAATATCACGGCGGGGGGGACACCAGAAATGGGCTTCACACATTGTACCCATGTCGGGAATCGAACCCGGGTCTTCAGCGTGACGAGCGAACGCTTTAACCACTAGGCTACCCTACCGCCCCCTTAACAAGGTGAGGTTTCAAGGTTGCTTTCAAGATGATTGCACTCACGTAGCGATGTTTATGCACATGTGTGTGGCTGCTTATACTCGTCTGGACATATCAAACAATAGTCATCAGTATTAATAATACTACCTACATTACATCATTACCAGAAATCCTGTGTTACGGCTGTCGCTGCACAATACAAATCTTCAGATTATAAAGAGAAGTTCCCTTCACTGTCAAGTATCAATAACTAGTTGAGATTCTAATAGTCTCTCCCTGTCCAAGCTGCCTATCCTCATCACAGTTCTACATGACAGTTTTGGTGTCCCTAAACTTAAACACCATAGGATATAACCTCTTGGGCCCCAGAGCCCATTAAATGCTGACACTGAAGAACATCATCAGTTGTTTGAGCACAGATTAATACAAGACAACATGGGGTATAGGATAGGGGGACATACAACATGTATGCTTTCAACACATAGTGAGTGAGTGAGTGAGTGAGTGAGTGAGTTTGGTTTAACGCCGCTTTAAACAGTATTCCAGTTATATCACGGCGTGTCAGCTTAATGTGGGAGGAAAGCCCGAAGTGATGCAGGTCTCAGACTTTTACCACTTATGTGAAACCCACGAGCACAGGTATAGTGCTGACAATCCTAGAAACATAATTGGGGCAAACCGGGATTCGAACCCACAATCATAGGTTTCTGGCGTGCCCAAGGGACGCAACTCTGCACAGCGAATCGCAGCGCCTTAGACGACTGGGCCACCTGTGCCCCCCTTTCAACACGTAACTGTTATAGCAGCTGAGGAGTTGAATACTATGACATTGTAAGAAGGTCTTGCTAGAAGTAGTATCATGTTTCATGAACATGAAAAATATCACTAGTTGCCAGTACACTCAACTAAGAAGGAAATAGCAAACAGTATGTATAACTTTTAAATGTCAACATATTTGACAAGAGTGCTCTGAGAGCACAACATCCAACATTAACGACAGTAGATGGCACTGCATTTGAAACAAATTGTGCAGAACATTTTGTTGGGAGTAATCCAGTCTGAATGCTGATGCCATAAGGATGTCGCTCACCCACAAAAGCCTTATACAAGGAAACTAACTATAGTTATAGTTATAGTTAGATATTGTGATATTCTCTGTAAACTGGAGGAGGAGTAGATTTCATGAAGCTCCGTAAAACAGGGGCAGTAACTCTGTCAATATTAGTCGAAATGAAACGGGACTGCGATATGCGTATCATCAACATGTAGACATCTTGTGTGTAGAGTGTCAGGGATATTCTCTAAAAGCTGGAGGAGAAGTTGATTTCACAAGCTTAGTACCGCTCTCACAATTAGGCAAATGAAGCTCCATAAAACAGGGGCAGTAACTCTGTCAAAATTAGTCGAAATGAAACGGGACTGCGATATGCGTATCATCATCATGTCGACATCTTGTGTGTAGAGTGTCAGGGATATTCTCTGGAAACTGTAGGAGGAGTTGATTTCACAAGTTTAGTACCCTCTGTGGGACGGGCAGACAGACAGACAGATGGACGGACTTGCGCCATGACATAATCCCCCTTCGGCCATTCTGGCCCGGCGGGGTATAAAAAGCCAAAGATAAACTTCTGCCCATCATTTCCTCATTTCTTGAACTACATGTGCCGTTGAAACCTGCAAAATTGACACCGAAAAGTGTCCCAAAACACTATTAAATACATATTTAAATATAAATCGTGTGGACAGGCTCGCTGACTTGGTTGTTGCATGTCATCATATCCCAATTGCGTGGATCGATGTTCATGATATCAATCACTGGATTGTCCAGAGTCGATTATTTTCAGACCGCCGTCATATAGCTGGAATATTGCGGAGTGAGGCGTTAAACAGCAAACAAACAAATATATACTCAACAACAAAAGTTCTTGTGACCCCAATATTTTAGTGTATTTTTCAAACAAGTAAAGTTTGGTTTTCAATATTGTAGTACATGTATGGAATCAAGTCACAAAAACGCAACTGCTACAGAAAAGCATGCATTCCATGCAAAAGTTGACTTTTATGCAAGCCCCATTCATTTCACTACCCAATAATGAGTATAAAAACATGTGCGTTGACGGGATTCCATATGCATTGTTTAGCATCGTGCTGACAACAACCACTCAGAAAAACAACAAAATTATGCAATTATTCAACATTACGAAATGCCACGCCTGTCCGAAAATGAGCGTCTGCGAGCCATTGGTATGCTTGAAGCAGGATCGAGTCAACGTGATGTTGCAAGACAATGTAACGTCCACAGAAACACCATTTGGTGTTTATGGCGACGTTGGCAACAGACGAATGCAGTCAGAGACCATCCTCGGCGTGGCAAGCCACGCGTAACCAATAATAGACAAGACAACTGGATTTGAACAACATACCTACGAAATCGATTCCAGCCAGCAACAGTGACTGTAAAAAGCATCCCTGCCTTAGACGAATATCTTCACAAACAGTACGTCGCCGCCTCAGATTGCAGGGATTGTCGCCAGAAGACCCGCCAGACATCCAATTTTGACAGGAAACCACCGTCAAGCACGTCTACAGTGGTGCAGACAGCGATGACACAGGACGGCCATGCAGTGGGGACAAGTTCGATTCACTGATGAGTCTCGTTTTCACCTCAGCCACAGCGATGGACGGATTCGAGTGTACTGACGTCGAGGTGAACGTTACGTCAATCATTGTGTCATGGAAGAAGATCGGTTAGGGGGCGGCAGCGTTATGGTATGGGGTGGGATTACAGCAAGACAGAGGACCCGTTTGATAGTGGTACAGGGAAATCTCTATGGACAGCGCTCCCCCGACGAGATCATCGGCCCTGTTGTTCTACCGTTTTTGCGTCGTCAACGCCCAGCTTCATATTGCTCGACTTGTTCAGGATTCTCTTTAACAAAACAACATGAATGTCACCCCCTGGCCGGCTCGCTCCCCTGATCTCTCACCAATCGAGCACATGTGGGATGAGATGGATGGCAAATTTAACCATTTGAACACTTACAGGAGTCTTTCATCTGTTGCAAACCAAAATTGTTTCAGATTTGGTAAAAAACATAACTTTGCATTAAATCTTATTCAATGTCACAGGAACTTTTGTTGTTCAGTATATGAAAAGGACCATCAATTATTTGATAAAAAATGTCAAGATCTATCAATTCTTTATTAATATGTCAAAAACTATAAAGTATATACCATATTTACTGATATAAATACAAAATTGACAACACAGGTTCGATCTGTACGGTAACAAGACACCACCTGTAAAATATTGTAGAAACCTGAAATATATTCTTCACATTGTATGTCCTCTGTTCACCATGTTTACCGGTATTAGTCACAACAATGGTCAAACAAATGCCAACATACTGACAAAAATTAGATGCAAAACATGTTGACTAAACATCCAAATTCTTGTGGCAGTGGTAAACCACTGTCTTCTCTCAGTGCAAATTCATACTAAGTTTTCTTGCTTTGTCACTCATGACAATAAAATTATAATGATATAATGAAATATACGAGTTAGTTCAATTAAACATTTGTTGTACATTATTGGAAATCAATTTTCCAATTGTTTGGTGCTATCTTTAATTTTCTGATATAGCATTAGCAGTACAGTCACTTGATCTTACTTATATCTGATGTGAGACGCTCATAATATTTGCTGTGAAACACAGCATTAAAGGGTCAGCGTATCCCTGGGCCGAATTGTAACCATTCTTTGTCTGTTTGGGCCACAATGCTCTGTGGTCTGTGGTCAGTGTTGACCTCTCATGGGGAAGCTGCGATTCCCTTGAGAGCCAGATCCTTCTTCACTTCTTTCAGGTAGTCAGAGTCAGGGTAGCCGTTCCTGGAACAGATAATAGTATATACAGAAGCGATGTAGAACTGTAACACCAACATTTAGAAAGGTGTCTGCATTAAATGTAAAAACAGAAGCAGCCTATCCCCACGGTTTCCTGAATGCCCCAAACCTTTCCCACCAAAACTTGAATCATGAACAATTTTGACTCTGCCAAATCAGGTGACAGCTATAAGCACTTTATTTCCGACTTTAGGAATATAATCCCAAATGCGATACTGCCTTGACAGAGAAAGTCCCATGCATGTAGCTACATTGACAACTAAGTACTAAGCATTTCTGGTTCAATAAAATCACTTCCGGTTTGAATAAATACATGCCATTGCAGGCCAATTTTGAATATGAAGTCACAAGCCTCTAGCTACATATCTAACAAAGTTTTGAGCATTTCTGGTATAATGACATCCCATCTGATGGCCGTTATGACGTGACCATAAATGGGATGTCCTCTGTTCTTTGATAAAGGTGTAAAATTATACATCGAAACATCGCTATATGCAACAACCAGAAGTTGTTCTACATAAAGTTGTCTTCTTGTACCAAATATATATAAGAATAACCCAAGTTAATTATTCAACCACATGATCAAGTATACTACATTCTGCACATCACCAAAGTACCCCTACATAATAGTGGGTATTATATCTTACATTTTCTATTTGGATCTGAATCGTGAAGAACCCACCATAAAGCCCTTAACTGAACATTAAATTTTTTTTCAGGCATCATTTCAATAGGACTTACTGTGAAGACCCTCCCGCCATACTAGTCTTATGGCGAATGCCATTCCAGGTGATGACGCCACTGCCACCAGTAGTTCCAAAGACGCCGATAGTAAAGGTGACATAAGAATCAAATGCCTTGTACAGCAGCCTCAGCACCTCCCATCCTTCATAATTGTACGGGAGATAGGCTATTCTATGGATGCCAGAGTAGCGCCTCCCAGGTTCTGGATGATCAGCCTGCATAGACATATAAATAGAGCCACGACACTGTAGCTCACCTGAATGTGTAGTCAACATTTCAAAAAGTAAAAAAGACAGTCACTTTATGAAAGTTGTTGCTGGCATTGATACTCAAATATTTGGGGGTTGTGGTGGTTGCTGGACTGGGCTGGGACAATGTCGAACGAATAATTATACTTCAGACTATTGATAAAAAATAAATTTCCTGTCGTAAAAATTACTAGTAGCAAGGTATTTTTCTTAAAACATAATTCAGGCTCAGCTTAGGTGTTACAAATATGCCTTCCATACTGACAATATTTTATGAATGAATGACCTTTATAGTGACCTTGACTTTTGAGACAACTATCGTATTTTCTTGAGTATAGTGCGACATATATGAGAAATGTTGAGTTATTTATTTAGAGATCTTGGCAGATTGTGAAATTATTTTTGAACTTATGTATATTGTGACCTCTAGTGACCTTGGCTCTTTATTAAGTGACCTTTGCCAACTTTTAATAGGTGATATGATCACTATCACTGACCTTGAGATAACGTATAATCAAGTTATCATGTACACAAAGCCCTTCACTATCCCCAAATCTCACCAACTGACCTTGCCTGTTAAGTGTCGTTTCAAATATAATACTGTTATAAGGTAGTGTAATTTATTGTTAAACAACGATTGTAGCTGTATTACATTTTTTTTCTGTTGATATTAAGTAGAAGTTCAGTGCATTGTATTTAGACAATAATTCGTTGTCAGGAATGTAGTACTATTTAAAGTAAGCAGTGGTGAGGAAGTTCTTATATTGAGATGCTCAAATTATCTGTAAATTTCTGGAATAGCATGGATTGATGTCAAGCATTATAGAAACATGTGGAATATTCTGTGATGTTCAAGTTAAACTGGACTGGTCTGGCACTGTGTAGAAAGTGCTTAAATCTGGTCAGACTTAATAAGTGGAACGGGCGCGTCCCTGTCTCATCTTACATTTCATCTTACAGTACATCAAGGCCAGTTTTCGTGTGAAGATCACTTTTCACACTGGTGTTTACCAAAGGCTTATCTCGGAAGCTTGACTACTGTTGCGGCGAGGTGATTAAAATTCATTGTCATTGTCATTCCCACTGCTCTCACAGTTTATACTGCCATTGAATATTGTACTACCACTCCATTGTGTACTGACATTGTAATTGCTGTGCAGTAATTTGTATTGATTTGTAAACCTTGTTAATTTTGAAACACAATTGTTGATTGCATATCAATTGTTGGTTGTCTATTGGTTACAAACTATATTCTTTTACGTACAGATTTCTGGGTTAACATATTGTTTCAATTTGAGACTATTTACACGTCATTTGATGAGTACATGACACAACCATGATATATGAAAAGTATTTTGTACATTATTTAGAGTCCACCATTGGAAAAACTTTTATTTTTAACAAACTAAGGAAGGTAGTGCAATTTGAACCAGGTATCAGTAATTCAGCTCTAGTGACCTTGACTTCATACAGAAGTCACCCTAGAGGTATTATATAAAAAGTTTCATCAAATTCCGAAAAAAAAATACTCAAGCTATCCACTTTTTAAAGCCTGATTCGTATTGTGGGACCTTGTCCTTGTCACCCGATCATGTCAAAACATTTCCAAGGGGAACATAGGAAGTTTATCAGATTTGAAGTCTCCAACATCTGTCTTAAGTTAGTGGTTGTGCCACATTTGCAGTCGCAGCATAAACACAGTAAGCACCCGCATTTATTTTGGTGTACATATTCCCAAACTTTCCGAAAACCTACCTGTTGTAACCCTGCTGGAAATTCATAACTGATGACAATCACTCCTTGTGCATCTTCATATCCTGGAAGAGTATTTTGGTGTAATTTATGAGTCATCTTCCCCCCTTTGGGCTGGTTCCCCTTCACAATACCATACAGCTTCCCACATACAGGACAGGCTAGCTTCACCTTGAACGCCTGTCTGATACAGTCGGCACAGAAGGTGTGGCCACATGGCAGTTTTTTGGGGACAGTGATTGTGTCCATACAGATGCAGCATGTGTCATCCGGGGATGTTGACCTTTCTCTTGGCAAGCTCTGGTACCTCTTATCATCACCAACATGAAGTCTTTGTCTGAGGATTTCCCGATCAACAATACTGTTACCTCTGACTTCCACATTTGTTCCCATCCCTGTAGTCCCAGCTTTCATGGCTTTATTTCTTGGACTAAAGCTTACATCAGAAGTGGTCCCAATTCTTGATCTCCATGCAACTTTAAACTCTGTTGCACCCGTGCCAGGCAAGGCTTGAAGATGTTTAATAAGTTGATTCTTGCTCTTGTATTTTAAAGCAGCATCAAATACTGCATTTAAACACAGCAGGAGTTGATTACCTTCTGAAAAAAGGGAAATCAAGTTCCGTATGAAGTTCATCTCATTACAAGGTGAGGTTAGATATAATTGTTTATTACGTTGTGTTCAAGATTATTGCACTTATATATAGCAACGTGCATGTAAATACCACTCTCCGGGTAGGCGGTAATATCATTACAAAGTATTATTTTAAACTAGTCATATATGTGAACAAACATGTTAATTATATAGTATTTGGCGACACAAATTTCAATGGCAGGCATGTGCTATAGGCCCATGCAGTATATTCTTTAAAGAAATCATCAAGGTACAGTCACAGTATTTCAACTACTTTAAACAATGTATTTCTCTATTCAGTGAAACAGAAGTGATTGAGTGAGTGAGTGAGTGAGTGAGTGAGTGAGTGAGTATGGTTTTACGCTGCTTTTAGCAATATTCCAGCAATATCATGGCGGGGGACACCAGAAATGGGCTTCACACATTGTACCCATGTCGGGAATCGAACCCAGGTCTCGGCGTGACGAGCGAACGCTTTAACCACTAGGCTATACGACCGCCCTGTGAAACAGAAGAAACTGTTAGTGCACTGGTGTTCATTTTTCATTTACAACCTGGACACCTATTAACAATGATAAACACCTATTAAAACAACTATCATTAACTAATGCAAGGGTGTAGTATTGTCATGAAGGTTGGTGTACATACCGTTCAGGGTCTCCGTAGACTCTCTCACACATCCTACTTCTGACACTAATTTATCGACAATTTTTCCATTTGAGGGACAAAATGTCAGAATTTCTGTTGCTGTTGATTGACCCTGGCCTTGTCCATCGGCTGATGCTTCCAGGCTTCTCTTAATAGCAGGGTACACCTGCAGCATTTCCACGACATCAGCCTTCTCCCTTGCTTGTGTGAAGTATGTTACAGTTGAGTCCATAACAGCAAGAGTCTGGTCGATCGCTTCTACTTCCTTCTTAGACAGAGACAACATAGTGTTACTTCTTTGGTCGATGTCTTGGTCCAAAAGTGCTTTTCTCAGATTGATAATACTTGTCAAACTTTTAAAGTATATGCTTACGTCGGATTTGGCCTTTCCCTGAGCCTGCACAATTGTATTTTGACGTCCTTCTTCAGATAGTCGTCTCTGACGCAGTTGTTGGGCATTTGTAAGGACGGTTTGCATCAATGTTTCCAATTCATCTTGTCGTTTTTTAGCAGCTTCTTCAAGTTTCTGGAATTCATGGCCTTTATGTTCCATAACTGTGCAAGCCATACAACACAGAGTTTCATCAGTAGCACAAAAGAACTCCAACTGGTGTTTTGGGTGATGAGTGCAGCAGTGACGCTTGCCAAACGTGTTCAAGGGCTGTTGTAATACATCACTCAGGGATATGATTGTATGGTCGTTTGTCAGTTGATGACGTTTGTGTACATGTGTGCAGTCCTTACATAGATAAAGAGAACACTCCGGACACCTTGACTCCGCTGTACTTCCTTCGGGGCAGTCTGTACAAGGAACTTTCCCTTCATTCCTGATCTGCACAAAATCCACAAGTTTCGCTCTGACCGCATCCACGGGCAACGTTTCAGCCTTTCCTGGAACTTTGTGGACCCTGCGACATAGAGGGCATGTGATCTGACCTTTCCCCTCCTTCGTGAGAAGCTGTTGAAGACACAGGGTACAGAAGGCATGGAGGCAGGAGTGGAGGAGACGAGGACATCGGTCTGTCTGGTTGAAATGTTCCACACATACAGGACACTCCAGGAATGTGTCTTTGAGGGCACTCATGTCCACCTTCTCCTGGGGTTCAGACATACTGTAAAGCAAATTTAGATCACTTATAATTTTGGAGTTAACCATCTCACAATATGAATAATGTATCACTCATTTCCAATTTCCTGGACCAACTTTCTACTCTTTATATGGTAGGTACTGGTGTAACCATGTAAATTTGTTCTGCAACGTCAAGGCGCTGAATCAATTTTTCTAATTTACGGGGCAAGGAAACTGAAAAGAAATTGTGATGGTGATTTTGTTGCGAATATAAATTTTCCAAGACACATTGAGTCAATTTCCGAGAGAGAGAAATCATAATATTCGTAGACAGTAATTAAAAGTTTAAATGAAAGTGCTGAAATCACATCTGCTCCTGATCTGCTTCAAAAACAAACCTATTTAGGGGCGTGGCCTCAAGCTTCCAGCGCAGTGGTGACAACTGTTTTCATTGGCTGATATGTGTGCCACTTTTATCTGTCTTTACATATACTGTTTCTGCTATTTCAGTTAATCCAACAAAAACAACAACATTGCCTGTTGAATGTGTGAAACGACCTTTCATTATGACACTGTGAATAATCAAAATAACCATCAACAATCGTAGCATTTTATTACTAACATCCTGTTTGGATAATAAACCACCAGCTGCCCTCAATCGTATTCCACAAATTGATTGCTATCAGGCATTAACCCCTCAGTAAACAACTGGATGTATATTTAGATTTATTACTAAAAGGCATAAGGCGACATAAGTTGTAGACACGGTAATCAATGTCATCATGTCACAGAAATTGGAGAGGACGAAGACCTCACCCCTAGCCTGGAAAACCTTAATGTTTTCCTTTGGTTGCAACTATTTCCGAAAGATCTTCCAAAAAACAGAGGTGTGGCCCCGACCTTCGTTCAAAGACTTTAGCATAAAAAATGTCTAAATTTCGCAAGCCCTGTAATCGCTTCTAGATGAAATTCGTGCCTCATAGGAAGTATGTGTCATGCACACAGCAGCAGCAAGATTTAATTGACCTCGGAGTCCAGTCCCTGTGCAACCCAGTAGAAACCTTGGCAAAAGAATATGCCCCCAGTGCAAAGATGCAGGGCACAAACACACTCATTTCCTGAGAATGTGCACCAATTTACTGGAATCGGATCATAAATATATGGCTAAAGCACGGCAAATTGCTGGCATACTGAATGAAAACGATGATCATCATTCAGATGAGGCAGAAGCTGCAATAGACTTTATTATCAATCCCATTATCCCAGACGAGGATCCACAGTGTACATCAACTTTTCAAGTCCAGGTCAGACAATGATGATGAACTGGGGCAGAATGGAGTATTTGTTCATCCAGAGAATGCTGTCATCACCGTAGAATATCTCAATCCTTCCTTCCTTGTGAAGAAAAACAGTGGGGGTTATCGACTTGTTACAACCTTTGCTATGGTAGGCGAGTATAATAAACCCCAACCTTCATTGATGCCAAATGTTGACTCCATATTTCAACAAATGGCCTCATGGAAATTCATCATTATCATGGACCTCACAAAAGCCTATTACCAGATCCCTCTTGACGTGAAGTTTATGAAATACTGCGGAGTCATCTCTCTGTTCAAAGGAGTTAAGGCATACGCAAGATGTGCTATGGGAATGCCCGGATCAGAAACTGTTCTTGGAGAGTTCATGTGTTGTTTTTGGCTACCAGTTGCAGGATGGCTACGTTGCTCAGCTAGCTGATGATCTTTATATTGGTAGTGTAGCAGGGCGTGGAGTCATCCCACAGATGACATCCTTACCTTGTCAGCTTGCTGACGGGGTTAACCTCTTTGGTCAAGAGGACGGGACTTGGAAATTTTATGGCTGCTACATTGGCGCCCAAAGTGGGGCTGAGCATGTTCATATTAAATTTGAGCAAAATAAACCTCAGTACCCTACTATGCGGCCAGGGACATGCCTTCTGTTGACGGGGGAGTATGTAGCAGGGCGTGGAGTCATCCCACAGATGACATCCTTACCTTGTCAGCTTGCTGACGGGGTAACCTCTTTGGTCATGTGGACAAGGCGTCCGACCTCGGATCAGAAGGTCCGTGGTTCGAATCCCTTCACGGGACTCGAAATCAGAACGACCTTTCATCCAACCAATCTATCCAATCATGAAAGTGACAGTCGGAATGTGTTTTCTAATCATACAACCTCGAAAACGATAACATGGGGTATTCCGATGGACAGTTACGACCCATACGACTGATTATGTTAAAATTATCGTCTATCTCTCTCTTCCGTGGGATAAACATTTGAACGGTGGAGGCGTTGTACAGTATGTGGGAAGCACTGCCATACAATCTCAACCATATATTAGACATTCCGGAATGTTCGTTTGTTCAAAATTTTAATCGTGATCTGTGTCAACGTATTTTTCAAGCATATTCTGACATGGAAGTTGCCAGGTTGAAACGAGTGCCATGAAAAACTGCCTTCTAATTGGCTGATGTCGACGACTTGTTAGTCATTTCATTGGTCGGTTCAAAGTTCACGAAAGTTTGTTCTGACGTGACCCGTAATGGGATGTCCTCAGATCTTTGTTTAGCAGCAGCGAGAACTTAGATCTGATTTTAATGAGATTGGAGTAATACCCCACTGTTCTTCCCTGCTCACACCCCTTGATAAAGCTACTGGGGGCCTGGCATCACATGACAAAATATACTGAACATGCTGAACAACAAAAGTTCCTGACATTGAATAATATTTAATGAAAAGTTATGTTTTTTACCAAATCTGAAACAATTTCGGTTTGCAACAAATAAAAGACTCCTGTAAGTGTTCAAATGGTTTAATTTGCCATACTGACTTCACAAATCAATGGCGTGTGTGTCCACCTCTGGTTGCGTTGCAAGCAACACGTCTTCGTCTCATGGAATGGACCAGGCGTCGCACAAAGTCCTGTGGGATATCTGTCCATATCTGCTGGAGCATGTTTCGAAGTTCCTGTGGAACACGTGGTTGACGTCAAAGGCGCCGATCCATCTCATCCCACATGTGCTCGATTGGTGAGAGATCAGGGGAGCGAGCCGGCCAGGGGATGACAATCACATTGTTTTGTGGAAGAGAGTCCTGAACAAGTCGAGCAATATGAGGCTGAGCGTTGACATGTTGAAAGGTAATGCTTGGGCCATGACGACGCAAAAAACGGTAGAACAACAGGGCCGATGATCTCGTCTCATTCTTGGGTAGTGAAATGCATGGGGTTTGCATAAAAGTCAACTTTTGCATGGAATGCATGCTTTTCTGTAGCAGTTGCGTTTTTGTGACTTGATTCCATACATGTACTACAATTTTGAAAAACCAACTTTACTTGTTTGAAAAATACACTAAAATATTGGGGTCACAGAAACTTTTGTTGTTGAGCATATGTTGGTCACAGGAACTGGTGCACTCCTTTCACAAAGCCCCAAAGGCACTTGAGTCGAGAAAGGTTATCACACTACTCAGACAAAGCGATCAACTGTGAATAGTCACAGATGGATCCGTAAAACAGCATGGACTTGGTGCTACTCTGTATGTGATGCATGAAGGCAGGTTTCTTCAGTGCCAAACTGCGTGGTAGACAAGTGACATGGATTCTGTGTGAAATAGAAGCCTTATCTATTGCGGCAACACAGCACTTCAGTCCTTACATTATTCAGTCTCAAAACTAGGTGTGTATTTTGACTGACAGCAAACCATGTGTTGAGGCTTACAATAAACTCTGTCGAGGAGAAGGTTGTCATCTCTCAGTCCACTAATAGTCAACTCAGTTGAGTTGGATGGTCTCTGGCAGCAGACGTCATGAGGCTTGTTTCATCGAGTACGAGAGACATGCAGGATGAATTGACTGAACTCTGCTTTCCCTTAATTCCCTTGGATGGACCAAGGACTGTCATATTTGTTGACTCGGCTCCTGGGTTCCAGTCTTTCGTCAATGACTCACTGTTGGCTAAATATAACATTGCTTTGGCATTGAGAAGAAGTAAAAATGTTAATAAATATCTGGTAGTGGAAAAGGCTATCCAAGAACTTGAGGTTGAATACTTCATCAGGATCCGTTAGAGCGTAGAGTGTCTTTGCTTACACTCGCACCAGCTGTCTCATGACTTAACTCACGAATTCGATCATGTCGTCTATCTGCTGGAGAACTGTGGACTCAACGAGATCAGTTCTCCAACTCACAAATTCCACTATTGGACCAACAACTTATTGAGGATTGTGGCAAACATGCCTATAGTGAACACTCTAAATGTGCAAGTAGGCGTGTTCTTCCAGATACATGTAGTTCATTCTCTGTTGGGGATACTGTGTATCTCTATTCTAATGGTTTCAAATCTAAAGGTCGCTGTGGATACTTGGTTGTATCGATGGATCACCTTTGGTGTCATATTCGCACATTACGCAGGACTTCTAATCGTGTGAGACTTGCTGAATGCTACAAAGTACCAGACCAAGTTGCGGTCCCACACACTTCCCCTGGTGAACTTTATGATCTGAGGGTCATCAGATAACTTCAGCCCAGAACCATTAGGCACATCTGAGCCACCATCCATTCCGCAGGAGCTCTCACAACTAGCACTTCACACGGATTTAGTTGATTCAGAAATCAACACTTCTCGACAGAAGGGGCTTCAGGAAGTTTGGTCAACCTCCAACCTCTGTCTATGCACCACAACAGTTATGTGCATCTGAACAGTCGTCACACCCTAAAGAGTCACCTATTCTCTCTACCAGCTCTTTGCTTCACAGGTCAAATCACTGGTGAAAAGCTCCAAGCAAAGTGAGCGACTATTGTCTTGACTTTTAATTCATATGAACTACAGTGTAGTTCATGTTTATATAGTTACAAATTCCTGGCTTTATTACTAATTAAAAAACAACCCAGGCATAGTGAAGTTCTAAAAATTAGACGACTGTGGCTGTAATCTGTTCTGCTACTAATTATACCTGTACTAAAGTCATTAACTGAGCATCAGGTGAATGACGACAAATACACAGGTGTAGGGTTATAATAACACTGAGCATGAATGATAAGAAGGGTGTAGTAATTGTTGTATAATATGCAATTTTCCTAAAACTAAGGGTGGTTGCAGTAATGAGTATATGAACTGGACTTCATTGTTTGAAAAAATAATATGTACCCGTAGTTGTTGTATACTAAACTACACAAGTAGAAATTGCTGCAGTGCATCAATTGTTCCCCGCCATATACTGTCATGTGCAGAGGCAGGAAGTGTCAGCAATGGGAGGAGAGGATTGGTGTAAAGTACAAATTGGTTGTTATTAACGTAGTGATCTTTGGAAAGCACAATAAAAGAAACAGTGTCTTTAAATGGTCATCGCAAGGAAAACTCAGGCAAGAAAACACATAACTGGGCCTATAAGGCAGACCTTGGTATATACCGGTTATTAGTACCAATAATGTAAAAAATAATTGATTACAAGTCCTATATCGATAACACTAGATAAAACAACAAATGCAATTCTTTTACATGCTTTGGCAGCAAATATCAATCATTCTGGTCAAAATTTTGCCTGGGTTAAATAAAACAATCTTTTGAAATAGTTAACACAAATAAATGCAATGAATCCACTGTAAATAAACTTCAGTCCAAATGTAAAAATATGTTCACGCATTTATTAAAGGATTCCCATTTATCCAACAGCAAGTTAAGAACATACAGGTTGATCAAGTCATCAATAAATATTCAGAATTATTTTACGTATTCTAAAAACAAAGCTCATAGGTCACATTTTTCAAAACTTTGTTTAAGTAATCACAAACCAAAAATTGAAACTGGTAGATATGCAAAAATAGCAACCCCACTGGAACAAACTACAACAAATAATAACTTCTACAAATAATTCTCAATCATGATAAAGAATTTGATACACTCTGTTAAAAGGAACAATTCTTAATAAGGAAGAGAATATATGGATGTCAACTTCTTTATTTTGAGGAACACGACGTTTCGGAGTATATGCTTACTCCGTCATCAGGTGAATGAATGCCACGAGGCAGAGAGCATATATATGTACATGTAAGGACAACAACATTAATAAGATAGCAAAAGGTGGAAACTAACAAAGGGTACAAACTAACAAAGGAAGCCAACAGATGATTGGCGCTGATAGGTGATTAGCGATAGACAATGGAAGCCCACACTTAAGTTATCATAGCTTAGTAATTGGTAATGGAAACTGGGCAAATTGGGGGGTGGGGTAATTAGCACTGATAGGTGTAAGAATGGACATCGCAAGGATAATTTTACCAACAGTTATCCAGAAACCATTTGAAAGATCTGTTATCATATCTACAATTATATACAAATTCCTTGTATGTACAACATTACCATAGTTTTGCTCAATTCTCATATTGTTTCCATATCATTAAACTACACTTGTTTTAAAATAAAATTGTTATAATGTACTTCCTTTGTATGTTGAATATACCGGTGTGTTTTGCAATTACTGTGCATATATTTTGTAGTTTGTGATAGTGTAATATTGCCACTGTTTCTTCGTGGAATGTTATGCAATACATATCTCATCTGAAACATCTATGTTTTATGATAGTTTGTTACAGTTGTGCACAGGGGCACGGTTGGCCCAATCCCCTAAGGCGCTGCAATTTGCTGTGAAGAGTTGTGTCCCTTGGGCACGCTAGAAACATATGACAGTGTGTTTGAATCCTGGTTCGCCCCGATTATGTTTCTAGGTTTGTCAGCACCACACCCGTGCTTGTGAGTTTCACCGAAGTTGTAAACGTCTAAGACCTGCATCACTTCGGGCTTTCCTACCACATCAAGCTGACACGCTGTGTTATAAGTGGAATACTATTCTAAGTTAAACCCAACTCACTCACTCATTACTCTTGTGTATGGTTCCGTTTGGTTATCTGGGTTTGTATTGTGACTACTTCCAGTTTAGATTTGAAGTATGTTCAGAAGAATGTTACTATATTCAACCCAAACATCGTAAATATATCATGCATTTTTAGGAAAATAATTGCAAACTAAAGACTAACCTGTTGATTTCCTATGTATCAAGAAGCAAAAAACATACGGGTGTACAATCTCTGCCGGAAGTTGAAAAAACTGTTAAAGCAATAAACCATGCAGAACCGTAAACCACCGCATGAAACGGTATGAATCATACATTACATACAGTGATCTACTTGAAACAATATTTTGTGATATGTGATTATGAAGACAACTAATAACAAATTTCTCATATCAAACCCGTTGTTTTACATGAGTTGTTTATTGAACAAAATCATACTTAATAGAAGCCTGGTATTTAATCGTGTTGAACAATAAGTTGCAATATAAGTGTGTAGGGGGAAAGATTGAGTTGCGCGTTACATACTTGACATAAATTTCTCCCTGGAACCTTTTTTGCTGGCTGCCTGAATAACACACGATACATTGCACTTTACTCACTCTCAGTGATACAGCTTGAATACGATACGATGTACAGCATTGCAAGGTCAGTGCGTGATAAAGCTCTATACAACGACTATAGCTGAAGATAATCGCTCAATGCGCAATAGTTTATTCTTACAAAATATAGACCGGTTTACTTTAGCGAAAGGAGATATATTTCCCCCGAAACATATTAAGCTCTTTTAAAAACAAAACGAACAAATTGCATAGATTATCTTCATAAAGAAACATGACAGACTAAGTCACAGAATGTGACAGGCAGTTGGTTGAAACATGTCAAGATAAAGTCACTCTCATTTCATTTTACAGACTCCACATTTTAGAGAGAAACAAAAATGGTGCTCTCCTTCACTCAAAAACAAACTACCGTATTCGACGTAATAAGCGCCCATGGCAATATTTGCTAACATATTGGCTAGTGATAGTGAACAATCCCAATTAGCACCCCTTTGGATTGATCAATGTACACAAGACTTATTTATTCGCGTATAATACGCACTCGTGTTATATGCACCCTTAATTATAGTCAATTAAATTCTGGAAAAACATATTTGTTGCATATAAACATTTCAGGCTGTCAGCAGAGACCACGAAATTTATCCTTCAACTCTGTTTTTTTCACCAAAATTATATTCTAATAAGAGCCTGCTATTTCTAATTTTGAGAGCGTCCCTGACGCTTATTACATCGAATACGGTAACTCTTAAACTTAAGAATAATTGTACATACACATTAAGACACACATAGGAATTCGCAAGTTGAAAGGTTATAGTAAACATCATCCAATCAAATGCGAGTTCATTCAAGGGGATTCCCCTTTGTTGGCGAGTTTTTTGGTCGCAGACGCTGTTTGGTATCTGGTGATTACGCAAGCTAATTAAAACGGCACCGGCGAGACCACTGAGGCGACCTTTAGGCGATTTAGAAAAATGTTCTCGTTCCGGGTTCTACTTTCGGTTCTTGCCTGCCTTATACCCTGGGCTAGTGGGTTACAAATAACACAGCAGTCCCAACATAAATACAGATGCTCAATATATTAAGAAACTTAATACCAACCTTTATAAACCGTTGCCAAGTATCTGTCTCTGAAAATACACCCAATAATAGTTGTTTTCACGGAGACGATTTGCTGTTTGGTTGAGTATGCTAAGCTCCCCACAGCGATAGCCCGTTCGCGGAGCTCACTGTAACGAGACTTTCGGCCAACCTCGCCCCTCTCCGTAACCGCAAAGGCGAAGTCGCCGATCGTGTTCAGATGGTTTCATGGTATGGGATCGTTGTTCGTCATTGATGGATGCACTTTGCCATTCATATTTTTTAAATACGTGTTTCTCATCTCCAACCTCACCAAGCAAGATAGCAGGCGGGTAAAATAAAATATTTATAAAATACGGATACTGAAAAAAACCTCTGCTTTTCACTAATTGTGTATTATTATTATTATCATTATCATTATTAATGAAAATTCATGGCGGGCGGGGAAAAAATACGGATAACACAGGTTCACTGTACGCATTACACAAACAAATGGCGTTAATCTGAAATGTTTGAAAACCATATACTAGGTTGCTATGTACAGTATTGCAGAGAAAAAGTATTTGAAATTTCAGTGTGAATCAGGATTGTGGGGATTGTGGTGAATCAGGATTAACATCATTTATCAATTTATCATCTGTGTAGGTAGTGACGGAAAAGGTGTTTGTATGTATGTGTTCGTGGTGGTGGTGGTGGTGGTGGTGGGTGGGTGGGATGGGGTGGGGTGGGGGTGGGGTGGGGGGGTGGGGGGGGTCAATGTTGTGTGTAGCTTAGTTAACTCTGAGTTTGAGTTTATGCGTGTGAGTGAACATTGCTTTACTCCACATTCAAAATATTCCAGCTCTCCCACGGATTGTAAACGATCATTTCGGGGTGAACCAGTGTTCGTCAGCATGAGCAATCGGAATAAGCTAAACATGACCCAATCTGCAAGGTGACAATCCAATCCTAAATGATCCTAATATTGAAAATGATCCCCCATGACAAAAGTTGAAACAAACTGGCTTACCAACTCAAAATTCGTATCCGCAACGCAATTCCGAGCTGCGCGCGCACATCAAGTGACCACAGTGACAGATATCATATTTCTCAAATTTGTTTATTACGAACATGGATGTTATTTTCCAAGGGTAAAAAATCAGTTTATACCTATGGAATGCATACAGCTTGTTCAGAAATGAATTACGAATAATTCTCATGTATTGTTTAATTCTTTTTTGCGTTATATGCACGTTACATACAAAAACAGCTATATTTCGAAATACAGTTAGATTAAGATTGATATTTTGACTGCACATGCACTAAAGTATAATTATTTCAAATTCAGCAAATATATCTACTTAAGTATCATTTTAATATGTTTTTCAGGCATTTACGTGACTCTGATTCTTGCTTCTGTAATGCGTCAGAGACCATATAATAGTGAACAACGTGTAATTCAATACTGCGATCCATGTTGGAAGGAGATTGGGAGTATTCTTGTAAAGGGAAATAATGCAAGGCGTGAGATACCTGTATAGATTTCGTCATAGGTTAGTGTTCAAGTGCGAGTTCGAAACTCATTGGAATAAACATCGAACGAAACACGTAGAACTGTTTGAACTATTATAATTTCCATTTTTTAGATCACATTACAGGTATGAACTGTCTAGACATACATGTCTATAACAATATATCATGTGAATAAACATGTGCACGTTCGGACCAGCGACACGAAACAATTTATTCAACGGTGATTGTTATGTGAGGATAAGAAAAGGATATTTACAAAAAGTATTTACGTCGTGACGTACGCACGTCAGTCCGTCCGTCCGTCCGTCAGTCAGTCAGTCAGTCAGTCCGCCAGTCAGTCAGTCAGGCAGGCAGGCAGGCAGGCAGTCAGTCAGTCAGTCAGTCAGTCAGTCAGTCAGTCAGTCCGCCAGTCAGTCAGTCAGTCAGTCAGTCAGTCAGTCAGTCAGTCAGTCAGTCAGTCAGTCAGTCCGCCAGTCAGTCAGTCAGTCAGTCAGTCAGGCAGGCAGGCAGGCAGTCAGTCAGTCAGTCAGTCAGTCAGTCAGTCAGGCAGACAGGCATATTGAGTGTTTTATTTCTGTTTCATTTGTGGCAAGTATCCTTTTAATTATTATTTATTTTATATTTACATTAGTGATACGCGTCTTTGGGTGTCGGTGTGTCTTATTCCAATGGTAATTTCACACCTGTACCCAACGCTACGAACAAGTGAGTTGATATACATCGGATATCGGCCACATTAACTGTAAACTAGAGCATCAGGTGTATGAGTCCGATTTATAAGATGTTGTTACAGCCAGTGGATGGATTTTCTCCATACCCTCAAATCTATTGATACCAAGATTTTAGATGCGTACAAAAGAATCTGACCAATAAAATAACATAAAGAATATTTTGGGGGCAGCAATATTATATTTTGCTAGTTGTAGTTAGTAACTCAGGTAAAGCTTAAGGAAGGGATAGATCAACAACAGATCTACTTAGACTAAACTTATAAACCTCCGGTGACGTCATCCTATTGTTCTCCAGTCGGGTTATATCTCATAAACAGGGACGTTGTAATGTCCCTGGGATTTTTTATAATACCCCTGGGATTTTATAGGATATTCAAGTCATATTTGCTATACAATGTGTTATAATATCCCAAGGATTTTATATAATGTCCTGGGTATTTTATTAATGTAACTTCCGTTCAGAGTGTAACATGGAATGAAATGTAGAATCAAATGACAACTGTTTTCTTTATATTCCCGAGGATCGATCTCGCAACCTTCATATCTGTAGCCCAGTGAGTGTACCACAAGGCTACAGAGGTCTTGATAAGGCACTCTGCTTTTTAGAATGTCCTTTTCAAGATCCGTACGCCAGCAACAGATATTTTACGCCCGTTTCCTAATGTTCATGGAAAGTATATTCGAAACAAAAATGTTAATAAATGTTGTTTTAAGGTTCAAAATCGGTTTATAAGTAAGATAAAACACTTCCCCTCGGGTTGTTATTATATTTTCAAACCCTTTCCCTCGGAAAATCCCTCGGGATGCGGGTTTTAAATATCATAACAACCCTCGGACGTGTTTTATCCTATACTTACATGTGGAAGAGAAAATTGTACGCATCAATGACAAAAATAGTGTCTGATGGAGTTCCATAGTTTGACTTGAACAATATATTCCCGTGTTTGCTCGGGAGAACATTCTGAAAAAATGTCATCTACACAGATGATACTCTAGTCTACGCAGAAGATAGAGTCATCTACGTACATGCTATTATAATTGTCCGTATCGTTACTCTGACCGTCTTGTGAAGTTGAGATCTAGTTAGATACAGTTTATACTGTTTATACTTTATATTTAAAATAAAGCTGTTTACTTAATTACTGTTTATTTATTTATATGTTTGGAAGCATGTTGGTCGTTTATTTTCCTTAGGCCTTTTCCGACAACATACTGAGATCATTTTAAATTGTGAGACTAACAGGGCTAAAATAGAAACACAAATAAATTCATTTAACAAAAATGCAGAATTGTGCATCCAGTGCTTCGTGTGATGATGACGAGTATTAGTTTGGTATAGTTTTTGAAAAAGTTTAAGTGATTCTCACCCTTTCATATGGTTACCAAAGTCGATAATTCACTTTTAAGCTTTTAAAATTATTCCAGTTATATCATCACGGCGTATCAGCTTAATGTTGGAGGAAAGCCCGAAGTGATGCAGGTCTCGGACGTTTACTTCGGTGAAACCCACGAGCACGGGTATTGTGCTGACAAACCTAGAAACATAATCGGAGCGAACCGGGAATCGAACCCACAATCATAGGTTTCTGGCGTGCCCAAGAGACGCAACTCTGCACAGCGAATCGCGGCGCCTTAGACGACTGGGCCACCTGTGCCCCGTCATTTTAAGATCAATGCTTTAATATTTCACAAAAAACACCAAATATCCATAAGGCCGTATGACAAGTGGGACAGGATACGTACTGGACAATGAATAACATGATGACACCAGGAGTTCGCGTTAAGGGGGAGCATGCGCTGCCCTACCGGTAGCACCCGCCATTCACACAATTTGCGTAAAACGCAGTACACAGCATAGCATAGTCGGTCTTACAGACCCTGATACAAATATATATCAAATACAGCTCATGCAAGTCTATAATGTTTGGCAAGTCTAGATCACTGCAGTATCAGTCTGAAAATGAAGAGAGTCACTGGGCTCCTTTTTATTATATTTTTGTTAAGATAACTGAACAACTGTTTTTTTATGTACGATATGTTCATTTCAGAGACTAGATGTTAGTCTAAGCACAACAGTACGTCGACCATGCGAAAAAGACCAGACAATCAAAGATCGATGGACCAAAAATTGCAATATAGGTAATATGTTATTAAATAGTCGTATATAGAAGTCCCTATGTATGAATATGTATATAATCCTACTACGATATAGACATATGTGTAGAAGAATCTGCATTTCCACATGTGCGCTGGTTGTACTCCTACAGGCAACGTAGCCCGCCTTCCGACACTTACGCCACTTTCCTGATTCTATGATATTGCCTTTCTGACCTGGGTTCCCGGGTCATCACTTCCCCCATACAAAGGGGAAAACGTTGGTACCCCAACTATTGTGGACGAAGGAAGCACATGTTTCCCCATCAAGACATCACTCTTCCACGTCCGTGCAACATGCGATGCTGGAGTTATTGATTGCAAAATAGGAGAGAGCGCTTTTACCTCGCATGCCTGATGGATTCTCATAAAATATGCTGGCAGGTCACGTGATCTGTAGAGTTAGCCATCATGGATTGTTGATCGCGAGGATGGAAGTGAGATGCTGCATGGTGTAGACACCCGAGGCGTTTGTGATATCTCGTGTCTGCTGTAGTCGGGTGTGAGCGACCGATCGCGAGGCTTTATCAGCGAGTAGTATGCAGGTAAGAAATGACAGAAGAAGGTCGGTAGCGACCATGGTGACATTCAGTCAACAGCTCTATTATGCAATAAAATATGTGAAGTAAAGAAGTGAATTTGTCGATAAGGTTTTTACAGTTCACCGATATGTGCCACAATGTTGATTCCACGAACGGTGTCATGCGTAGAAATGTGTATCGTGTTGACATTTTATACATACAGGTATATATATATTTACATGGATAAATGTTCGATAGGAGCAACATTATTTGAAACTAATATGTAAACGTATTCGTTAGAATGGTAGACATTCGTGGCATAGTACTCAAGGCAGTAGTGTCACCATTCCCACTGGGCCACTTTGAACATTTCTCTGAATTAAATCGATTGTGTGTCTGCCATTTTACATTGTATTATAATAGACAGACAGTTTCTTTATGTCAAAGTTCAGAGGACGCCCCCTTCTCCAAATGATTGACACATCGACTGTCCATAAGAGTTGACGTGGGGAAACGACTCCATGTCATGTTGATGGTATCTTATCAGTATAAACAACAGACACATACCCAGCCACGAAAACCAAACTGTGATTAAAATGCGGTACACTTATTGACATAAATTCAATGTAATGATTAACATATACAACGTACACATGTAGGTTAGCATACTCTCTATTTTACAATCATCCTTCAAACACTGTTTTTGTTATTTTAAATGTTTTAGAAACAGATATATTCCTTTTAACACTAATAATTTGTCATTCTGATTCAACTGAATATTGTTTTTATTATGGCAGTTTTCCTCATTTATCGTTATGTCAGAGACCATAACAAATTTTATTTTATGGTATCTGGTCATATACTCGTATATTCGTTAGCCTGGTAACAATTACACTATTGTGCCTGCAACAGATGTGCACTCGGGAACACTCACACATACTTATTTATGAGATGACACGGATGACTGAATGAACCCAGATGCATTGCGCTTCAGGAGCATCGTTCATTGCACACTCAGACCACTATAACAAACAGAGCGTACGATTGTAGCTTGTGTCTATCTATGTTCTTGTTAGAGGGTACTATTGTAGTGTTTGTTGTTGTTTTGTTTGTTTGTTGTTTAACGCCGCACTCAGCAATATTCCAGCTATATGACGACGGTCTGTAAATAATCTAGTCTGGACCAGATAACCCAGTGAGTGATATCATGATCGATCCACGCATTTGGGATACGATGACATGCATCAACCAAGTCAGCGAGCCTGACCACCCGATCCCGTTAGTCATCTATTACGACAATCATAGTCGCCTTTAACGACAAGCATGGTTTGCTGAAGACCTAATCTTACCCGGATCTTCACTGTTGTAATGACTGACATTATCTTGAGACTATATATCTATGTTCTTGGCAGAGAGTACTGTTATTATGGCCGACGTTAGCTTGTGACTATCTCTCTGTTCTTGTTCGAGGGTTCTTTTGTAATGATTGAGATTAACTGTTTATTATTTATCTATCTCAGGTCTTTAAAACAACAAGGTACAAACACAAATAATCTCTGTTTTTGTTTGAGCGTTACTGTTGTAATGATGGCGATTAACTGGTGATTATCTATCTGTTTTTTAAGTAACAAAACACAACAATTATCTGCTTTTGTTAGAGCTTACTGTTGTAATGATTGAGGTTAACTTGCAACTCTATAACCTCCTGTGTTTTGTTAGTGAGTTATGTAGTAATGATTGACATTAACTTGAGACCCGTGAAGATCCGGGGTAGAATAGGTCTTCAGCAACCCATGCTTGCCGTAAAAGGCGACTATGTTTGTCGTAAGAGGCGACTGACGGGATCGGGTGGTCAGGCTCGCTGACTCTGTTGATGCATGTCATCGATCTCAATTGCGTGGATCGATGCTCATGTTGTCAATCACTGGATTGTCTGGTCCAGACTCGATTATTTACAGACCGCCGTCATATAGCTGGAATATTTCTGAGTGCGGCGTTAAACAACAAACTAACATGATGTCAATCACTGGATTGTCTGGTCCAGACTCGATTATTTACAGGCCGCCGTCATATAGCTGGAATATTGCTGAGTGCTGCGTTAAACAAAAAAACAACAAATATTAACTTGTGGCCTATATCTCTCTGTGTATTGTTACAGACAACTGCTGTGACATTTCTCAGTGACGTCTTGTGTTGCAGATGACTGGCGAGAGCAGGCTAGAGTGGGCAGAGACAAGTGGCGCCGAGGAAGCCCGACGCCAGGACAGGTATGGGGGCAACTTCTCAATCCCCCAGTTCAAACCCTGGGGCGCCCAGGGGGCTGTAGCCACGGTGTCCGTCATATTCACCTTCTGGATCGTGCTGGCAAATGCCTTCCTCATAGCAGTAATCCTAACCAGCAGATACCTACGTAAACAGAGACCCACGCTGTATGTCGTACAGATCGCAATAGCAGATCTAGCGGTTGGGGTGTTTTATTGTCCACTCGCTGCCGACTTCTACCTCAAGCAGGTGTGGACTCACGGCTGTGAGAGTTTGTTTATCTGGAATACATTTCTGTACTACACAACATTCATTAGTGTTCATGCCTTGGGGCTGATTAATCTAAATCGTCTTTTGGGGCACTGCTGTCGTCTTCGATTTGGCCCCAAACTGAAATTAGCCATAAACTTGACCTTGATCCTTCTGCTGTGGTTCTACCTGGTTTTCTTTGGTCAATCTGTCCAGAACTTCAGAGCAACTGAAGCTGTCATCGTTCACCCTAACCTCTTCTGTCATGCTGATATCTCCTATACAGGTGCACTCGCGTCAAGTCTCCTGGGATTTTTCGTTCCGGCTGTTTTGACCGTCATCTTTTTGGTCATTATAATCATCAAAGAGAAGTTCTCCCATCCCACTCACCATGAGCTTAACAGGATAGAGGACAAAGTGTTCAGTCTGAAGGTTCTGTGTGGAGCCAACGCGATCACTCTGGTAATGTCACTCCCGTGCTTTGTTCTCATCGTAGGGCTTAGTCTGGGAAGCTGTGGATCTCTGGAATGTATCCACTGGATCTTGCCCGTCACTACGGTCTTTGAATGGCTTCTGTTTGCAAAGTCAGGTATTCAACCCGCGATCTGGCTCATCAACCCAGACTACAAAACCGCCATGCTGCCCGTCGTTCGCTTCATCAGACGACAGCCAGGCATGGACACAACGGAACTGGTAGAAGCAGACGATAATTCGGATGAGGATGAACCTCCGAACGAGGGATCTGACAACCGCGCGCACAAACCTCAGTGTGCAGAGGAAGCACCGGCAGGTGCAGGGTATGGAACCAGTTGTTGACTTGAGAATACTTCAATTCAGGGCTTTGGAAGCAGACCTTGATGTCCTGTAGGTGTTTGGAATTAGTTCGTGATGTGACCGAGAGAACGTTTGAGAACAGTCTCATGATTCCTGCCTGAGGAATAACTATGGTATTAGAACTTTGGAAGCAGCTGGGTGCAGTGTCTGGTTCAATGCATCTTGGCACAATACGATTACACGGTAGTTAGGTAATCGTGATGATACACCGGGTGAAGGAAGACCTATATTTGTCAGGAACTCCAGCGTTTTAACAGTAGAGACGTTGATGAGAATCCAGGTACAATTGATATATAAAGTTGTGGCAAACTGCACGCTCAACTACATACACAAATACATATGTTGCTGCTGAATAGGACTTGACATGCTTCCAGGACAAAGCCTGCTTCTGTCCAAAGTTTGAACCATCTCATGACCTTAAGTGAACAATTTCGATTACGTTTATGCTCTTCATGTACATATGAACCGCTACCGGGGAATCTCTCAAGTACCAGGGTGTTCAGCTCTTTTTATAGAGTATATATGTGATTTGAACACCAACGCTGAAATGTGCTGTTTAGGAAATTAAAGTTTCTCTATTCTTACTGTTGTGGGTTACCTACCCCATTTTCTAGGAGTATTTGTACCGTTAGGACTGGACTATGCACAGAGACGCCCTAAGCACATTAGAACTAGCGGCCATGACGGGACCGGCAACGCACGACTACATCAGCTACATCAACTCATCCCAGATGTGACCAAGACGGAGTGTTACATTCTGGATAATGTCTCTATTGTGTTAAATCCGTTTGGTAAATGACGGTAACTAAATCATTTTACTTCACACCTTGTATATCATGCACCACAGTATATTTATAATTGTAGAAAGGATGTTTTGCGCCTTAAAATGTTTAAAACCTGTTTTAAGTCAGCTCAAGCCTAAATCCGGACACAACACATCGAGTGTTTTTCTTTAGGTCTCAAAAGATGAAAAAATAGACGTTTTCTTTTTTAAGTACTATTTGTCTCAGTGAGTTAATTTAGGACATAATTTAGTAATCTGCCCCTGAAATCATCTTTTTTATATTTTAGAATTGTGGAGAAGGGGATGCGGGGATTGGGTAATTACGTTAAATATCTTGTACGTCTGAGGTCATTAGGTGTGCTCTCAGTCCCCAGTGCTGCAAGGGGTAATGCTATTCACCCTGTGTATATGATTGTAGATATCACAGTTGTGCAAAAGGAAACCGTTTTTATTGGATCAGCTCAGTTCTTGGTAGAACAAAAGGAAGTTGACTTCTGTTTTCAGATGTTATTGTATTGCTATGCAAAAGGCAGGATGATTACGACACTGGTCGGGTGATGCCTGACCCATCCGTTCTGTTGTTTGCTTGGTTGATTCGTCATCGAAATCAAAGTTCACATATACAAAATGATTATTTTATTTTAAGGGGAGTTTTTTTCAAAATGCATAGAGCGGTAGAGTGGTCGAGCGGCAAAGCGTCCGCGGGGTAAGCGGGCTCAATCCATTGCTGGGACAGTCATGGGACATTTGTAAGAGAGGCGTAAGTCCCTACTTCTCACAAACTTTCTGAATGCAGCTGTGTTATTTCTTTCTAGATTAAAGGACAAACCTCTTTGTCATGTACATGTACACCAAACTGAACTTTATTTAATGAGACCGCCTCCGTGATCTAGTGGTAGAGCGTCCGCCCGGAGAGCGGAAGGTTCGGGTGTTCGATCCCCGGCCGCGTCATACCAAAAGATGGTACTTGTTGTTACCCTGTCTGGTCCTCGGCATTAAGGGCTCAAACAAGGACTGGTCGGCTCGGGGTCAGTATACTGTGTCTGAGCGGGGTATTCATGTTAAACTGCGGCATGGTATCTCAGTGGGCTAGCACTTTAAAACGGCCTCAGTCCGGACTATTACAAGTAGCCACACACACGTGCATGTACGTCGCTATATAAGTGCAATAATCTTGGACGCGACGTTAAACCCAATTTCAGCCCACAAATTTAATAAAAAGGTCAAGGCGGGAGAATAATCAGTCTTGTATATTTGCCGAAACAGATTCTATAGGCGTAAAAGGCAAAAAAACATCAGTGAAGACACCAGGTGTTCGAGAAAAGGTTAAGCATGTCAGCGTCATATCCATATGACACATTTCTGTCAAGAAGCACGTGTTTGGTTCATGTGACAAGTTTTAATTTTTAAAATGCATATATTTCTTATACGCATTTGCACAATTCAGTCACAGAATGTGTACCATGTACTCTGTCTAGTGCACCCATATCGAAAGCCAGCAAAGCACAACTATTTGTTAACACAATATGTTGATTCTGCTGTGAATATTAAATTAAAGCGAAACGTGTTTAATATGTTGTGTATACCATGCTGTGCATACCACACTAACTTTGTCAATGATTTTCAAAACGAAGTTTTCAGAAAATGTAGGATGCAGGTTTAAAAAATACTTTTACTCAACAGAATAAGTATTTTTTTTTAAATTGAGATGAAAATATCACTATTTATCAATATATTAGTTGTTTATTTGATAAAAAAGTATATGTGCCAGTGTGTCTGTCATTACATAGAATGTTGGCCGACGCTTGCAGCTATTGACAGATGCGTACGTAAAACATCTTCCCAGAACGTTGTTTTGGGTTTGTTTAACCGTACCGTTACTTTCAAAATACAGAATCAGAACAAGTGAAAACTTTCATATAACCGTGCGTGTCTTCATCATGCATGGTATGCATATCATGCATAGGTTCCACAAGGCTGTATAAACTGTCGGGAAAAAGAAAGTATACACCCATGTTTGATGGTGGCTAAAATGGAAATAATGGTTATTCGATAGTGATGTATTTGATACGGGTATCACAATTCTATTTGGACCTTAAGTTTACAGTATTTATGCGACTGTTTTCAGCTGGTAACGTTTTGAATGCGTATGTATAGTTTTTGGTCAAATTCATTTTTTTCAAGTGTGTACTTTCTTTTGCCTGGTAGGTAACATACAGACACCCACTATTTCAGTTCCGGTATGCGCCTTAGATCTAGACCTGGTTGCTGCTAACTGTCTTACTTCATGATTGCACTGGTCAGTATTGTGCACAGTTACCTTCTCTCTACTGCATTTTACCTGTCAGTTTGTTGCCATATTTTCCATTTCGGAAAACGAATATTTGTTATTTATTTGTTGAATGCGGTTTCAAGGACATGTGTCCTGTTTTTTACCCTTTGGTGCATTGTTATCAGTGCTTATGAAGATGTATTACCTTATGATATACATTGTTATCATTTGGGGGTGCAAGGGAAATTGGCCCTGTACTTCCCTATGCTGCTTTATCAGTTCTAATGAATACGTATTACTTTATGATATATATTGTTATCATTCGGGGGTGCAAGGGAAATTGGTCCTGTATTTCCCTATGTTGCTTTGCTATCAGTGCTAATGAATACTCATTACCTTATGATATATATTGTTATCATTCGGGGGTGCAAGGGAAATTGTCCCTGTATTTCCCTATGTTGCTTTGCTATCAGTGCTAATGAATACGTATTACCTTATGATATACATTGTTATCATTGGGGGTTATTGGGAAATTGTCCCTGTATTTCCCTATGTTGCTTTGCTATCAGTGCTAATGAATACGTATTACCTTATGATTTACCTTGTTATCACTGGGATTTATTGGATGGTTCTAGGGGGACAGCGCTGTTAAGACCCCTAACCGTTTCATGACAATGCTTGTTTTATCTTGTTGATCGACTTGTTGACTTAAATAAAACGTTTTCTTTCACAGACCTGTCATGGTTTGAATGTCAGTGCTAACTACCAAATATATTTTCTCCATGGATAGCACGCGGTTTGTACAGGAGCGTCGCACAGGAGGGCGTCACACCGCAGTAGACCTGGCCTTGCTCGGACGCCTAGGCCTTGATCACGTCACATGGGTACGGTGCCGCCTCCGTGGTCTTGTGGCTAAAAGATGGTACTTGTTGTTACCCTGTCTGGCGCTCGACATTAAGGGGCTAAAGCAAGGACTGGTCGGCTCGGAGTCAGTATACTGTGTCTGAGTGGGGTATTCATGTTAAACTGCGGCATGGTATCTCAGTGAGCTAGCACTATAAATCGGCATCAGTCCGGACTAGTACAAGCAGCCACACACACACATACGTACACGTGCATGCACGTCGCTATATAAGTGCAATAATCTTGGACGCGATGTTAAACCCAATTTCACCTCACCTCACCTCACAGGGTACGGCAGGATACCGATGAAACTCTCTTCCGCTATATTGATGTTTCCAGTATTTAAAGTACACTATTTCTCACCCTAAAATAACAAAGAGCCAAGTAGGCGTTAAAATGTTTAAGCTATTGATCCCAAAAAATTATATCGGAATGTCAGGGAAGATCTTGAAAATGTGCGCTCTCATGTTGGGCAAATTTAAATCCCGCACAAACTATTAATGCCCAATGCCGTATGATAGTTGTATCTGCGTTCTCGTGAAAACCGTATTATACATATGTTTACGTATGTGTGTTTGTTGTTTGTTTGTTTGTTGTTTAACGCCGCACTCAGAAATATTCCAGCTATATGACGGTGGTCTGTAAAATAATCGAGTCTGGACTAGACAATCCAGTGATTGACATCATGAGCATTGATCCACGCAATTGGGATCGATGACATGTATCAACAAGTCAGCGAGCCTGGCCACCCGATCCCGTTAGTCGCCTTTTACGACAAGCATAGTCGCCTTTTACGGCAAGTATGGGTTGCTGAAGACCTATTCCACCCCGGAATCTTCACGGGTCTTAACGCCACACGATGACATGCATCAACCAAGTCAGCGAGGCTGACCACCCGATCCCGTTAGTCGCCTTTTACGGCAAGTATGGGTTGCTGAAGACCTATTCTACCCCGGAATCTTCACGGGTGTATACGTATGTAGCATGCATATCTATATCATGTTAATGTTCTATGTCTGTGACATCCATGTACCTCTTGTACTGCTGATATCGGGTACAGTGATTCCAGACATGAGTACAATGTGTGAGGCCCATTTCTGGTGTCCACAGCCGAGATATTGCTGGAGTATTGCTAAATCACTATAATGTTGGTAACTGTCGTGTGTGATAAGCCCTGTTCTGATAGACATAATGAGGATCTTTTTCTGCCAGATAATCACAGTGGGTTGTTGGAAGGGGTCTGTTAATATGATGAGTACATGTATTGTCACATGTACGAGCGCAAAGCTTGAATCGATTTAAGGAATATCAGAGTTCCCCCCCTTTAACTGTTGTTCCCTACGTGGGTAACACACATCGCCCACACATTGATGATGGTAGCCTGTACAACTCCTTCAAATGTTGTATGGTGTATGGTTTCTTCATATTAAAACTATACATGTTCATACACAGCACCTAGCAACATAACTGTCAATGCTATATTCACCAGAACGCTTTCGATAAGCCCACAGTGTGGTATAGAAACTTACTGCCCTCCTGTCTGCACGCAATGCTCCTGATTGCGTTATTAACTGCTTGTGTGTGTCCACTTGTAGCGTTATGACCTGTAGCAGTAGTCTGTAGTAGTAGTATGTAGCAGTCGGCTGTAGCAGTAGTATGTAGCAATAGGCTGTAGCGTGGATCGACGGTCATGATGTCAATCACTGGATTGTCTGGTCCAGACTCGATTATTTACAGACCGCCGTCATATAGCTGGAATATTGCTGAGTGCGGCGTTAAATAACAAACAGAAAACAAACTATATTGCTAGCATATTTCTTAAAGCGACATAAAACGTTATTCACTTACTCACGTATAACATTTTCCGAGAGATAAACAGCACGTGCTTTCAGATATGTGCGTGCTATTGAATCATTTGAAACCGACGGCTGCAAAGCTCTGACGTCATGATAAATTTTGATGATTTCCTCAGCTCCCGTGGTAACTTAAACTGTCTGATTTACAAA